GAATCTGTTGTGCCTTAACACGCGCGCAGGACCAAAGAACTCAACAATTATCGGTATGGCAGTGACGTAGATAAGGAAAATGTCATCAGCAGAAGAAATGCCTCATAAAAACTGGCTCCCTCCGCAGAGCTGACGCCCTTCCGAGGTTTTCCCAACAACAACAACTTGGGATCTAATGAGGCAATGGAAATTTTTAAAAACTATTTGGCATTGAAAACAGCTACAGAGTCCATCCAAATCAACACGTCCCAGACCTCTCAGCAGCCAGTAAGCCAGACTTATTAAGGTAAAGTACTGTAAGCCTGGTGTTATAACTTCAACCGGACTTTTCATCCGCATAAAGGCTAAAACATCAACATTTTTTTTATCAAACTGAGACAGGCTCGGTGGAGGAGAAAGAATTCTTTTATTTTAAACAGCCGAGTATTTCAGTATCCACCGTGCTGCCTCTTGAGGGGTCTGCTCCGAATGATCGCGCAGCCGACCCACAAAGGGGAGGTTCGAGCCTAACCGTAGTCATGTATCAGGTAAGCCATAAATTGAGTTTCACGTGTAACAAAGTACAGAGCATTTTACCCAAGTTCGACGAAGGGCCTACGCTGTGAACTACCTCCAGGCGTGATATCGGCCGTGCTTCCTCGTAGAACCCAAAAGGGTTAAATGCCAAATTTACAGCCTATGGATTTATGCACTGATTGTACCTCCTCCTGCATCCTCCAGATCTAAACACCCTCTGTTCTTTGCTTCCAGGAGTACCCTCCTTTAAAATTACTTACCAATTGAAGTTACTTCGTTGACTGGTCTACGTGCTTTCAAGCAAAGAATGTACATTTATCTTAAGACTGATTTTATTGACCTTTTATTCTCCTCATCTTTCCCTAGTAGCTTTCTCGAAAAATTGGAGATGGGACCAACAAGAACTTAGGAAACTGTCTTAAGACTATTTTTTCCTGCCTCGTGTCCCCTAGGAACCACGAGGTCTCCTTAAACCAGTCACTGAAGCAATGGAAGACATATGGGCGTACGGAATTTACTAGGACTCTCTTATGAGGTCGCTTTTGTCCGTGAATACTGGTGGTTGACGAGCAGGCATTTTGACGATCGCCAGAAAGAGTAGAGGTGGATCAACTGGTTTGCATACAGAAGATAGCTTATTGAAGCGCGGGATCCTGTTCGGTAATGCGTCGTATGTC